TGAGATGGATCATTTGGTGTCAATGTGATAAATAACTCAAATATATTATATAAAGTATTAGGTTGGGGAAAAAGTTTTTTCACATATATTATACATAAACTTATAATAAAATCTTTCTTATCTAAAGAAGATAACTCAACTAAGGTGGAGACCCTGGCAAGAATGCATAAACAAGCAACCGTGGAAATACGTAATATCCCTGTCAAGAAAAGTGAATGTAAAACAGATCATAGAATATTGTTAAAAAAAAATTGGCTATGCTGTAAGTGTGAAAGTGGAAGAAAATCAGATTAGGGATGTATTTCGCAGGAACACCAAGAAGGGGAATAGGCCTGTAGTTTTGTACAGTGATCCTAAGAGATAAAATTCTTGCATCGATGAAGGACAATAATCGTAAAAATAAGGAAAATAAACTTCATACTGGACATCTTGAAATGTTGGGTCAAGTACAACCAATCTTCATTGGTGAATCTCTAACTCAGGCAGCGAGAAAAATATATTTCTTGGCAAGGGCTTTTAGCCAAAAGAATGATAACGCATATTGCTGGACTGCTCATAGAAGTCTCTCTTCGTAAAAAGGAGGGTTCTCCAGCATGGTTAATGAACGAGAAAACTGACCTGGACCATCAGCAGTCTACCCTGTAAAGCCCGATAAACCCTGATATATGACTTGGCCTGCAAACTCATTTTGTATCCAGTAGATTCTGCATGCTTAAATAATACTTATTTTTACTATTTTTAATTATTTTAATTAATAGCTTATCAACATTACTTTGCATTTTTCTACCACAGTTAATAACTGTTCATACTGTTTGTGACTCAAATTTCAAGCTTTTAAATAAATTAAATACAGAAATTGCTAAACCGCTTAAAGCATCAAGTATGCAATTTCTGTAATTTGTGAGAATTTCATATAAACAAAATATAAACATTGCTCCAAATGATTCCAATAGTTCCAAGTACTTGGAACTTATGGCGTATCATGGACTATTATCAGGTCATACTTTTCCCACCCGCTTGGACTGTTGTCTAGATCACGTGATGTTGAGATCTGATCGAATTTATGTAACTCTAGTTTTAGACCGGCATTTTATAATGTCATTAGTCAGTAATTAAACAACTGTGCGTGACTGATTTTAAAAATGTATACGACACTAAAGATGCAAATGTTACTGGAAAGAATTAATATTATCACAGATGTCATCAAAAATTATTCGACAGAAGTCAAGATTCCTCTTCGTTATCGTACAATCAAACCTTGGATTACACCGGGTCTTGTGCGATGTATTAGAAATGAAGATGCTACTCTGTTGCTTACTGAAACCGTCGCCAAACATCTTGACAACAATGAAAAAGTTATAGATATTTTTTAGATCTTACCAAGGCTTTTGACACGCTTTCTGTACTGTTGCTTTACAAATTGGAAGTTACCAGTTTGCGTGGCGTGGCTCTTGATATTTTTCGGAGTTATCTTTTACAACGTATCCAATGTGTTAAGATAAAAGATTATTTTAGTACCCTAACAAACCTGTCTTTTGGAGTTCTCAGTCCCACTCTTTTTCTCGTGTATATTAACAGCCTGTGTTTAAAATCACCTTTAAATTACAAAACTAACGCATATGCAGATGACACAGTACTTCTTGTACACGGGAGGGATTGGGAAGAAGCAAAAAGCTGTGCTGAGAGTGCTTTGAGAAGGGTTAGGAAATGGTTAGATAGTACTCTTAACATTAAACGTTGACAAAACTAAATATCTTAAATTTTCTCAATATAATAGCTGCGTTCCTTATAATGGATTCAACATTAAAGTCCACAGTTGTACCGATGAGTGAAAATGCTCCTGTTCTCCCCTAACAACCACAACGAATCTTAAGTACTTGGGTTTAACTGTTAACACATCCCTGAGTTGGTCTACACATATTAAAAATATGACAGGTCGCATAAGAAAACTTATCCCCATATTTAAAAAAACTTAGAAGGGCCACAGATCCCGATACATTATTGACGGTCTACAATAGTCTTGCTCAGAGCATACTTCAATACTGTATTGTTGTTTGGGAAGGTTTCGGCATATCTGCTCTACTCCCTCTTGAGAGGGCTTAAAGAGCTATTTTAAAGATCATGTTGGGTAAACCCAGAAAATATAACACTTCTCTTCTGTACAGTCAATGCCCAGTTCTCACAGTAAGACATATATGTAATGCTGTAATTAGGAAACATAAAACCATTGAGTTTAACCCTATAAACAAGCGCAACAAAAGTAAGATTTGCTCATTGATACCTCATAAGACAAAACTTGCCAGACGTCAATTCTATGTCAATAGCTGTTATCTATACAATAAAATCAATAAAATAAATTATGTATATTCTCTCACGTTACATAAATGTAGGAAGCTGCTTCGAAGCTGGCTTCAAAAATTGAGCTTCATGGATACAGAGGATATTCTCCATCACTAAAAAATTATTTTTGTTTTTGTTTTACTGTAATAAATATATTTATCTGTGCAATATGATTATAAAATAATAGTTGTTTCAAAAAGAATTCTATGGTTTAGTATGATTAGTATTTTCTCTAAGAATATAAATGTCTGTAATATGTGTATTAGTGATGTGCCGAATCGTTAAAAATGTATATAAGTGGATACGGATCCGAATACGGATATTTGGTGTCAAGATCCGCGGATATGGATCTTTATAATTATTTTTTTTTCCAAGTTCCTCTAATTTTCTCAGCATTTGCTCGTGTAATCTAATGATTACACTTTATATGGTAGGTAGTACCTACTAGGGACGCAGTATTAATTTACTTTATTATAATTTATGTTTGGTTTTCTCATCATCTCATAATTATAAAAGTGATGTTATAGCTTTCTATTATATTGATTTATTATAAAGATAGTTGATTAGTACTATTGGTTAAGTAACTTACTACGATAAATGTTTGCAATATAAAGGTGCCAAATATCTGATTTTAAGAAATAAAAAATACTTGAATTGAATTAAATAGTCTTTTAAATCTACCTAATCACCTATATATAGCATTTCATCCTATCAATTGAAAATTAATAAGTTAAAAGATCCATAAAAGATCCGCGAGAAAAGTAACGGATACGGATCTTTATTTTCCGTTGGATATCCACGGATACGGATATCCGGAACATCACTAATGTGTATACCTTGGGTGGGGGCGCTGACAGGTGTGACACATTTTAACAGCTGTCAACGGTATCCTCTTATTAAATTAAAACTATTGTTTTTGTGTCAACCAAATAGTATAAGAGAATTTTATAATTTGGAGTTGTCAATAAATTTTTTTTATTTTTTTTTTTATTTGGGTTAACAAACAGGTTAACAAACATTATTATTATTAACTCTGACTTCAAATTAGGAAAATGTGCGATTTATATTCTTTCTTACTGTCAAAGTAAGTGAATCTAATAAAGAAATTCAATACATCTAGTTTTATTACAAAAAAAAGGTAAAAATACCACGCAAGCAACGAAAAAAAAATGCAACTTTTACGGACCTAGTGCAATTTCTGTGAGAGTAGCACGTATTTGGTTTAAGCGGTTACTCTTTGACGAACTAGGGGTTGCCCACAAAACACAAAAAAGTTGGATATTTATTACCTCACGAACTCACTGAAAGAAACGTAACCATGTACCCATTTGTGATTTCATTATTACGGCGAACCGAAACCGAACCATTTTTGAAGAAGCAGATAACTGTTGATGAAAAGTAGACCATGTACGACAAGAACATGCGGTCAAGGTCGGTCAGGTTTCACAAATTATGGTGAAACTTGGGATAACTCACAAGGTGATGCTGTGTGTATGGCGGGATTGGAAGGGCAATTGGATCATCGATTCTGAACTCTACTGTGAATGACTGATGAAATTATAGCAAGAAGTTGAGAGAAATCAGCCAGGATTAATCAATAGAAAGGGTGTAGTTTTTCATCATGATAACATTAGACCTCAACATATTTTTCTTCTCAACAAATATTAAGAGAGTTTGTTGGGTGGTATTAATGCGTCTGCCATATAGTCCTGACCTTGTACCTTCTGATTTCCACCTGTTTCGGTCTCTTCAGAATTCTTTAGGTAGTGTTAGGTTAACATCAAGCGGGAGGACCCACGATAAGGGCTATGCCTGTGTGGATCCTCCCAACACGATGGGTAGGGGACTGGAGATTGCACAGTCGCGCATCTCTGGTCTCTAGCTGGGGGCAGCTGGCCGGTTCGCGCACCGGTCGGCATTGCACGCTCCCGCCTCGTTGTGGGGGTGCATCTCGAATGTCTCTCAGATGTACCCCCAACCCGCAGAGGGACCTGCCCTTTTCAGGGCGGGCCGAAATGGGGGCGAACCGCGCGGTGTATGGCCTCCGGGCCGTTCCCGCGCATCGCCTTCCATGCGAGGGACATCGCTGAGTTTTAGTGGGTAAACTCCGGTTTCTTGTCTAGCCCCTTCGGGGGTGGGGCCACAGGAGGAGTCCCACATAACCCGTGGAGCCCGTGCTGGGTGAAATGGGTATGCGTAACGCATTTCACAGCGTCAAAAAAAAAAAAAGGTTAACATCAAGCGAGGACTGCCAAAACCACATGTTGCGGTTTCTTATCAGAAATCTCAAAATTTCATTAGCAATGGGAGCATGTCCCTACCTACAAGATGACAAAAAGTTATCGAACAAAATGGTATCCACATTCTATACTTAAATGTAAACAAACTTTATTAAAAATGTTTTGAATTTTCATATAGAATGTGAAGAAAGTTTTTCCCCAACCTATTATATGATCTGAAATCAAATTTGAACTCTGTTAAGGTGACGAGAGGTTATTGGCAAACTTATGTAATCAATTGTTACTTTTTTCTAGTTACCATGATATTATTGTTATTACAGGATGCTGAAATTATAGTTTAATAAAGTGTATTGTATTTCTTAGGTATCAACTAATCAGTATGTAAATTCTGGTAAGAAATAAAGATCATACAAAAAACACTCACCTGTAATGCTGTAATATATCACTACGTGAATAACACTTTGCAAAACAAATGCAGCATTGATAAGTGTCCTCGACTGTTGGCTCTTTTTTTACTACCACAGACGACTGTGATGTATCATTATCACATTTATTCAGAACCGATTCGCTCTTTATCTTATTCTTCAAAGAATCTTTTGACTTTCTAATCAAATCAACTGCTATGTCATTGGGTAACTTTTCATGTACTGTTACATTGTGATTGTTTACTTTTTTCCGTCGTCTTGTCATTGGAGTACTATTATTTGATTTACCTCTATCTCCTTCTTGACAATCCTTTTCATCAACTTTATGCTCTAAGTTTATTTTTTGTTTCCGGCCTCTCTTCTTTCTTTTTAATGCAATAAGAGACATATCTTCACTACTGTCTGAGAAAACACTACTGGGATCATAATGGTCAGATTCAACTGAGGATTCTCTTTTTATTGGAAAAGGTGAAGTTGGTAGAGGTGATTTTGGTTCCTCTTTTACTTGTTCTGAGCCAATTTCTTTACAACTGATATCATCCGTCTGCGTGCCCTGTTCAGTTCTAGTTAAGGATGATATTTTCGGAAGTTGTTCTTCGCGTTTAGGTATACTGAGATCAATTGAGTCACTTAAATTTATACCAACATGTAGTAGCATACTGCGTAATCTGAAAAAGTTCAATGCAAATTAAAATAAAAGAGTTTTTTAATACATTATTCTTTGAGTCAATATAATATTGATCTTTCGGTTTATATTAAATAATAAAAATAAACTTTAAAAACGAGTTACACATGACAGCTTGATAGATTCCCAGCGTTTTTAAGTGGTGTGATAAATAATTAAGTGTGGGAACTAACCTGACTTGTGTTTCAATTGCTATGTTACAAAATTGATAGATATCGTTAAGTATGAAGCTGCATCGGTCACATACTTTCTGCGGCAACTTGTCTCCTTTTGTCACCTACAATTATCAAATAAATCAGCTAAAGGTTAACATAACAATTCAAAAGCAAATTAATAAAACAACTTATACCTTTATTGGTAAAAATAGTTCCATTTTCAAATTCAATGCGTTTTCTTCATCAAATAAATAGTTATTTACGTAGTGTGTAGAACAACACAACCTACAAATAGAGTCCATAATTAAAATTTATAAAAAGTAGGAAAATAAACGCTGTTCATCCTCAATTTCACGAAATCGAAAACTGACAGCGTACGAAAGATAGAGATAGCAAGATAGTAGAGCAGGCGGAGCTATTTGTCAAATATTGACCTTCCAAAGACAGTGTTGCCAAGAAACACAGGAGTCTTATTAAAGACCTAATAAGATATATAAATACATCATAGATAGAAAGGGCTACGGTGGGTGGACGCTGAGAGGAGGACGGAGAGCTACTGCGTCAAAGTTTTGATTAATGAACACACAATGTTTGTGAAGTTAACTTACTTTGTATAAATTGTAGATTTTCAAAACATTAAACTTTATGAAAGGGCAATATGTTATGGGTTTGTTATTAATCCATGTTTTAATAGTATGATTATTCAAGTAGGGATGTGGGTTGCTCTTACATTAAAACTACAAAAGATATAAGACCGAACGATGTAGTAATGTATATTTATTTCCGATACACGAGAATGATCCTATATTACGATCATTCATATAGTCAAAGTAGAAAATCATATAATTGAAATAGGTGAAGTCATTGAGTGAAGTATTAGTTTTATTATCTGTAGTCAATTATTATTAGGAAGGAATATATTTGTTTTGTTAAACTTTACTTTACAATACAGCAAAGTATGATCTTAATGCCATACTTTATATTTGTACTGTGCCATAGGGCATTATCTAACAATCGACCAGTAAGGGCGACTAATAGAAAAGAAGACTCTAAGGACGCAACCAAAAGATAATGATATTTATGTCTTCAGAAGACTTGAAACAGCACTTAGCCTGCCAACAAAAGGTCACTTATTCAAGTCCAGACTTGTGATTGGGACATTTTAAATGAAATTATATTATCTAATATAAAATATAATTATAATTTCTACTAATAACCAAGAAAACGGACAAACTAAATGAAATACAATAAACCAACAAACTAAAGTAAATAACTATAACCCTTCAAATGTAGTAGCATATATGTACTTCAAAGATTATTTATAAATTAAGGTGTTATTATTTGCATAATTACATAGTACAAAGATTTTTTGATTAATTACACTAAACGAAAATCACACACATTACTTGCATTCCAAATGAAGTAGCTAAAGCATTAGAATTATAGAAATTGAAACAATGGAGATAACACAATACCCAGAGCCGATAACTAATGACAATAAATAACAGTTAGTATGTATTTAACTTTCATCTATGTGCAGTCGATGTCGTAGGCAATAACTATTATTTTTTTGTACTTTTTTTTTGAGGTAATTATAACTGTGTAAGTAGTTCATTTTAGTTAAGTGTCAGCCATAGTCATTAATTAGGGGAGAGTGAGTACATTAGATCACAAAAGAGGTCTCAATATATATTATATTCTATTCTTTTTTAAGGTCAGTTGCACAAACGTCCATTAAGATTTAATGACGCCTTTAAGCTCTAATGAATATCAAATTTATATGGGTAATATCGCTTTAAACTAATGAAAATCTTAATGAACGTTTGTGCAACTGGCTGTTAGAGTCTAAAATCAAAATTAAATGATATGAAATTAAAATCAAAATAGTCATACAACTATAGTTTAAATCAACTGAAACAGTTGAACTTTTCTGAAAGCTAAAAATACTACTACTACTACTACTACTACCATAATAATATCTTCACGCCTTATCCCTTGCGGAGTAGGTATAGAGAAAAGATATCACAAGGCATGGTCCTTAAAAAAGAATAAAAATTAAAATACTACCTAATTCTAAGAAAAAACCGCTTCGTTTACACTAAATTTAAAATGTAACAAGCGAACGGCAACTACAAAAAAATCACCTTGAAATAAAACATATTTTAAAACTCTGTGGAAAAAATAGTTTTTAATGCTTCCTACCACGAGGAGTATACAGCATAGCACCCTGCTATGATACCTTATATTAGTATATATATTACACTGGTATTTAAGGAGAGAGATTTACAACCAATTGCACAAACTACCATTAAAATTTTCATTCGTTTAAAGCAAGATTACTCATACAAATGTGACATTCATTAGATCTTAAAGGCGTCATTGAACCGTAATGAACTTTTATGCAACTGGCTAAAAAGCTTTTACTGTATATTTCTGTAAGGTTATACTTATCAGCACAGAACATAGGTGCTTATCAGACTATAGGCACATATCATTTTGCCTCGTGTATGAGTGAAAGCCGATCATAGAGTTTATAAGTCCATATTTTTTAAGAATTTATTATTTTAAAAATATCTACGTGTATGTGAAACCTGAAATAATAAATAATATCTGCTATTACATAAACTTTTGAAGATTTTAATAAAAACTTTTAATAAAAAAAATAACTACAGATCTCATGGCATTTTAATGGGACCGCCATCTGAATATATTTTGCTGTCAAACCCGAAAATATTCGTCTGAATCAGTTTACTGACAAATATTGTGAAATTCTTATAAATTATATTTGATCGATTTTGCGTTCACAGTGCTACACTGAAAAATAGAGTACCAGGAACAAAGTGGTCTTTTTAATACTTTTTCATTTTGAACAAATATTGTGGAACTTACAAAAAACTTAAGTCGATTGGAATATCCTAACTTATAAATATAGTACAAATGGATGTAATCGATACTCCAATTTAAAGAGGTTTCTCTAACTTTGTTTGTTTGTAGGGGTATATCAAAAATACTAATCCGATTATTAATAGGCTATAATTTGCGCTGGCGAGAAGCCGTGACAAAATAGCTAGTATTTATATAAATTTATGAAATAGATTTATATTAAATTGTCATATATGTCTGTGACAAAATCATACAACAATAATATGACATTTGTTATTTGTACTTACCTACAAAATTATAGTGATATTTTTTTATCAAAGGATGCTATTCCCTATCGCTCAATCTTTTAATTTGCCTTAACTTAAAATGATATTAACCGTCTTAAAAAAATGAGACAGTTATCGATTCAAGTTATCAATTGGCCTATGTTTTAAGCACAACATCTTCATCAAAAATGGATAAACTGTAATAAATCTTTTTTTCTTAATTTTGCGTTCCCAAGTAAAGTGCATAAAAACAAACTTACTGCAGGTTTCACAAACACCTATTGCAATTGTCATTCCTTTAAAGTGACACCGAGCGAACATTCATTGTGCCTTAATAAACATTTGTGCAAATAAGCGTTAAATGAATAGTTTTATAACTTGAAATTTTTAAAGGTGTGTCACCTCGTTTGTCTTATATTTTAATAATCTTGTATATTACAAAATATATATTTAAGCAGAACCATACCTATATGTATAAGTATATATATAGACGTATACAGTAAAACACTACTAATGTAGCTCACATATGTGAACTGAACTGAAGGCTAAGTTTAGAAGCTCTTACTTTAGGCGTGCTTAGTTATTATTATTACAATATTCAGATTTATATAGAAAAATCATCTGGCAAAAATTTCTTTATAATTTTATTACCAGCTTCTACACCTTATACCTTTAACTTACCGAAGCGAATACTTTTCGCGATAAAACTGTCGACTAGTACCTAGCTACTTATCTTTATCATACTCCGTCAACAAATAAAGTGAAAAAACGAGATAATGCCACGTTAGTTACTATTGTAAATGAAGTAAGACTTATACGTTCCAGAGAAAAAAATACATTAATATACTAACTTAATTTGATAGAATCTTTTAGTGAATCTTTTGCCGATGGTAGTTAAAATCAAACATAAATTAAACAGTTTAATAAATACTCTATTCACCTGCGAAAATTTTACTTGACAATACACCTATTGATTGAAGCTCGAGGAATTTTAAATTATTTTATTATAGAGTTATATTGTATAATGTGACACTGACCGAACTTCTAGGACATAATAGAATTTATCACAACTATTGAAATTTTTCATTAATCTATTGTAATAGTAATAAAGTAACAAATTCTTTCTCTCGCTTTGCCATAAATTGGTAAACAAAATAAAATAAACCAATGAATTATTATATTAGAAACAAACTCTTTTCCCGCGACTTCGTCCGATTACAGATAGCCTATTTTATCTACGTATGATGTAGCAGTTTAATTCTCTTTTCATTCGGTCCGTAGTTTTGGAATCTATTATCCAAAACTAACCAGCTAGTAAACAAAATTTTTCATCAGACAGACAACCGAGTGCTAGCCATTTGTACTATATATAAGGGTTCCGTTTTTTCTTCTTGAGGTGCAAAACCAGAACCCAGGAAATTCGATAGAAAACATTAAATATGAGGATAAATAGCAGCAGTTAGTGTTCAATTCATGAAATAAATTAACTTCCAGATAGCAATAACATAGAGTATCTAGAAATATTTAAGTATGTACTCGGGATTTAACTGATAGGCTAAATAAAATAATTATTGTTTTACAAATAGTAACTGGAATATAGAAAGCTATTTACTCTTTCAAAAACTGTACTGCATACCAGTAATACCAAAACAATTAGTTATAAAACTTGAGATAATATAATTATTACGTATTTGGATACCGATGTCTTTTGAAATGACTCACACCACACACCATATCAGAACTATATACAATATATGCCCTGATCGCAAAAGTTAATATTATTTTATTAATCAAAAGAGATAAGGACGAGTGGTAGGGACAAAAATCGATATTTTGTAAATATTCAAAAAAAAAAATTTGGTTTTTAAAATAATAGGGCAATTGAAAGAAAAAATAAAAATTAATAGTGGGTGTTGCCACTTCTGGCCCTTATGACTTCTTGGAGCCGGTTTGTCAATACATTCATGATATCTTGAATATTCAATGGGGGGATATTATGCCACTCCTCTATTGCAGCCGTTTTTAGCCCTCTTACAGTCGTAAGGACTGGTACACTTACTCGGGCACGT